TGCATAAGTTTTGATTAATTGAAAATACTAGAAAAGATGAAGAATTCCTCGATGTTCTTGTGTGTATTTTTGCTCACAAGTGCATCTCCCCCCCCCCCCCCCCCCACAAAAAAAATTAGGCTTAGTCTTCCTTTTATACGTGTTGGATAGGTCAAGGGCCGAATAGACCGTGTCCCGAGCAAAATAGGACAAAATATGTGTCAACAACGCCCAGCCCGGCACCAGGCGCCCATCATGGCGCTGCCCAAATTGCACACTTTGTTTTTAGTGCCACAGGTGGCGGCAAGCGCTGCCTGTGGTGCCCAAATGGCCTCTTTTTCTGGTTTTATCCGTTTTGGCTCAAATCTTGCCCGTTTCGGCCCCAGTTGCTCCCGAATCATTCCTACAACTCAAAACACTTCAAATTAATATAAATCATAGCATTTAACAACCCAAATTCAGGAAACAAAAGTAAAATATGAGGCGATATACATAGAAATATATATACTTTAAGCTAAACATCAACATCCCACACTTAGACTCTTGCTCGTCCTCGAGCAATGGGACAATCTAATAAAACCCCAACTACATACAAAGTTCAATCATAGAGGAGCACCTTAACTTTTAACCACACACTATACCCTTGACTACGATCAATACCGGCACACAAGCATGAACACACAAAAATTCACATTCTTCCCGTTTAAGCATACCCAAGTATAATATTTCAATTCAATAAATTCCAACAACCTATTCGTCACCACCCAACCTCAAAACTCGACTTCCAACCACTAAGAACCCTCAATTCATGCACTTACCAAACAAGAAAGCTTACAACATTATCAATCATTCATGAGATCATGTACCCTCACCAACAAACAAAAGAGTGAAAATAAATTGGTCCACACATTCAAATATACTTTTGAATATAGATTAAGGACATCACACAGTTGAACAAAATTCTCTCACTCTCACAAAGAGTTCATATGCATCCCGTGGTCGTACCATAAACTTGCCCGTAGTGTATATCTCTGCTAATTTAAGCTAGCCAAATATAGGATCAATTAGGACTTTAAGGTTGTAATGTAGGCTAAGGGACAGGTAGGATATATTTAGAAATAGTGGCTAACCCTCCTAAGAACTTTAATACACTACATTTACAATTCAAGCTCATACTCTTCTCAACCAACTCACTTGTCATATACAACATAGCCATCTTTTCAATTAAGCACTTCTCTATTTTTCACTAGCACAAATCAATAAGAATTGGAGGTGTTTATTTTTCTACATACTTTCACTATCATTTTTTTACTTTTCTTTAAATTTTTTTTTCTTTGTCTTTTTTTTTTCACACACTCCATACAATAAAGTTCATCGGCTATTGACGTTTAATTTCAACTTTAGTGCACCAACATGCCCTTCCATGGTTCCACTCAAAAGATGCTCCTAAATTTCTAACCTTCTTTTAGCGCCTAAGTGCCTTAGGAGATAAAGGTTCAATCAATATCAAATTAAGAATAAAATGGGGGATGACTTGTAATGTGGGTGCCAAAAGAAAGGTCTATAGGCTCAAGGGGCTAGCAACGGAAGATTTTATTTTTATGTGACAAGCACATCCATGATCAAGCAAGAAAATACCTACGTCATCTCCTAGATTAGCACAACTTACAATTTCGCTTCAATTAACACACGGGGCAAGTTCTAGATTACACAGTAGCATAGAAAATCACGAATCCTCACACACACGTTGCATATGACTCAATCACAACGTTTTTGTTCAACTCTCAAGTCAAGCAAGTACAATTAAATGAGAAATTTAAGCAACATTGCACTATGTGGCATACGAGTCAAACAACTGAGAGAAGACGTTACAAAATAGGCTATTTACTTTACTTAGGTTTCACATGTCAAACCAAATATAAGAGAAAATAGAAGGTATGTCATAGCCTAATGTGCCAGCATCAACCATGTCAATGAGTATCTCAGAACGACTCAGTTTCTTCCTAAACTACTCCTAAAAAGAAATTAAAGTACCCGGTTCGAGCTACATCCTTGGAAAAGAACCGGTGCCCAAAGAAAAACCAAGGAATACTATCTAGCTATTCTAAAAAAAATCTTTTTGGTGTTTTTAAATCGGACTTTTATCCCTCAAGAAAATTGTCCAAAAGATCCATCGTCGGGAAAAGTTCGAACTTTTTATAATTTTTTTTTCTTTTGTATTTTTATTCTTTTTTTTTTGTTTTTGTGTTTTTTTACATTTAAAGAAACTAATACTACACTAGACTAACTACACTAGAACTACTGAAAGAAACAAACCAAAACAAGTTGATACAAAATATATAACTACAGCACAGGTAGTATGTCTCCCACCTCACACTTAAACTATGCATAGCCCTCGATGCAAGTAAAAATGAGAAACAGAGTAGGGTGTAAAGAAAAACTCCCTGTCAATCAGAGTCCACCTCCCCAAGCAGCTCTGGGGTCATCATCATCCGGTCCGAGAGGCACCAAAGTCATGGGCCCCGTAGCACCATTTTTATCCTGATCCTCAGTATCTGAGCCTTTGGCAGAGTTGACATCTTTCGACGAGTGAACGGGGCAGCCAGGTGTAATACCCAACATCTCCTTGGATGTGCTGGACAAGTCATTGCACAAATGCATATGCTCCTCGTCTGTAATGCCAACCCTGTTCATGAGTAAGTTCAAAGTGTTATAAATGTACCTGTTGATGTTCTCCTCTCACTCCATCCGGGCCGCGGGGCTGAGTTTTGACGATGCCTCCACCACAGATGTGATGTCCATAAGCGTCGACGGAGCCTCCACCACCTCATCATGTCCGAGGTACTTCGATACTCCTCAAAATAGCATATACTGAGTGACTAAGTTTCCGAAGAAGAACCACCGAATCTGTCACCCAAATATCATACGAGCCATCTCACTGAGCATAATCGAAGCCAAATTAATGGGCCGGCTGGTCATCAAGAAGAAGATGAGACACACTCTAGCTCGAATGCAGTCATTGTTGTGCTCCGCCGGCATTAATCTCGCTAGCACAAAATTCTGCCACACCTTGGCAGCTTTGTTGAAGTCTGAGCGAACCATAGAGAGGTGAATGTTGCACTTCTTCCTTATCCATTTGGCATTGGAATCCATGCCACAAAGAGTGTGACGTATCCACTCATACTTCGGGCGTCTTATAAAGCGATGGAGTCTCCTTGGGTCAGCATTCTCGACCCCCAAATAGTCACACAAAGACTCTCTATCCATCATCACATCCTTCCGTCATACACGTGTAGTGTCCCTTGGGTAATTCAAGTTAGCATACAGCTCATGAACCATGCTCAGGTTTGCAGGCCCTGGGAATTCGAAGAACATGTGCATATTTAAAGCTTGCAGCCTATCAAGTATCTCCGGGAAGTTTCTTTCTAAGGTCGTGGTGTTAATTCCCATCTCAGAAATGTAACGACCAGATGGTAAGAAGTCTTTTTTCCAAGCAATAGAAGCATCATTATCCAAATCCAAATGAGGCCTCGGCCTTAATGGCACTTGCTGAGATCCCTCGGCGACCTGTTTTCCCTTGGATTGCCGTGAAGAGTTTTCTCCCTGCTTGCAATTTTCGGTTGTAGGAGAAGTGGTGGAGGACTTTCCAATGCCTTTGCCTTTGCTAGAACCATCACGAGCCATAGTATCCTGCAACATGTGAATGTGATAACGGTTCAAAGATATGCCTAAGGTGGTCGTGCAAGTCATGAAATCACCCCACACTTAAAACTGAAGGCACAATGTACACTATGTCTAAATTATTCCTCCACCATGTACAAGTGTCACACCTTAAAGCTATGGGTACTCAAGACTTTCCCATGCTACACAATAATGATAGATCATAGCAATGCGAATTCACAATAAGGTAAGCAAAGGCATATGGTATGCACCTTTCACAACTACTAGACTATACTAAATTAGGCAAACTTACAAGATTTTACAACATACAAATATCAATGGTGTAGGAACATGTATTGCATCAAATCCACACTCCCTAGCATGTAAAAACATCCCTACACACCCCACACTTAGACCAAATGCATACACAATTGCATCCGGTTAGTCAGACTTCACCGATGTAGCAAGAATACTCGTTCAAGCATTTTAACAAACACGGTATGGGCATGAAGTGTGTTCTTAAACTTCAACAATGGTGGAACATGGTGGCCCTTCCAATTTTCAACGAAGTAGAGGGAATTCTAGTTTACTACTCCGTGTACACATTAAACACACAATTTTCTACCAAAACAAATCACCCACCATAAAAATTTCACAAGAACTATATAGGGAAATATATGGGGGATTAGGGCTCTTGGGAATGGGATTATGTTTATCTACTAGTTAAAACACAAACAAAAATAGAAAATAAAAAGGAATAACATACATCTAGACTGGAGAAAGATAGCAAGAGAGAAAGAAAAATTTGGAGAAAATTTTCGTGAAGAAGAAGAGGGAAATCGACAGAAGCAATAGTGTTTGGCGTTTTTTTGTGCTTCTTCAGGTTTTAAATTTTTTTGGGTTGTTTGTGTTTGGGTGGGTTTGGGAAAAGATATGGGTATTAGTATTACTGTAAATGGGTATTTAGGTTGGATTAAATGGGTACGGGTTATGAATACTATAAATAACGAAAAAAATCATAATAAAAACTTACCTGGCACCCCCAAGCTTGGCACCTCGTGCCTTGCCTAGCGCTAGGGTGTTGATCGACACTGTTTTTGGCGCCCCAAGCAGCGCTGGGCGTTGGCCTGGGCGCTATTCGCTAGATTTTTTTTTTGAACATCTCGATCCCCCGAGCCCTTTATATACCCAATTTACACGTCCTAAACCATTACATCTAAAATTTCTATACCTATAAAGAAAATGCAATACTCTACCTATTCTAAAAGAAAATTAAGAAGTTAAACTAGGAAAGTAATAAAAATCGGGTTGCCTCCCAACAAGCGCCTGATTTAACGTCGCGGCACGACACAGAGTCTCGCTTACTCATCAGCGAGTACAACCTTGGTCTTCTCAGGATTAATCATTCCTCCCCAATAATGCTTGACTATATGACCATTCACTAAGAATTTTCTCTCACCATTTAAAGCTCGTAGCTTGATTGCACCATAAGGCGTGACTCTCACCACCTCAAACGGACCTGACCATCTCGATTTTAGCTTTCCAGGGAACATCCGTAGTCTAGAATTGAATAATAATACATGCTGTCCTGGCTCAAAGTGCCGCGGCTTGATATGCTTGTCATGCCATCTTTTTGTCTTTTCTTTATATAGCTTAGCATTTTCATAAGAGTGCAGCCTGAACTCATCCAACTCATTCAATTGCATAAGTCTTTTCTCGCCTGCAACCTCAAGGTCCATGTTCAGCTTTTTAATGGCCCAGTATGCCTTGTGTTCCAGTTCAACGGGCAAGTGACATGCCTTCCCATAAACCAGCTTGTAAGGGGACGCTCCAATTGGTGTTTTATATGCAGATCTATACGCTCATAGGACATCATCCAACATTGCAGCCCAATCCTTCCTATTCACACTCACCGTCTTCTCTAATATTTGCTTGATTTCTCTATTTGACACCTCAGCTTGCCCCCTTGTTTGAGGATGATTTGCTGTAGCAACTCTGTGGCAAACTCTATATTTAGCTAGAAAGTTATTCAGCAACCAATTGCAAAAATGAGTCCCGATTTATATATATATATATATATATATGCATATATAACGCCATTTGAATCATATTTTAGCCACTGTGGGCATCATCATCATCATATACTAGCTGATTAGGTTGTGATGTGTATATAACACCGTAACCTTTTCCCATATCCCATATACATATATTTACATATATACGTGTATATAAAACCATCTGGTCATGGGTCAATGCACATGAATGCAATGCATGAAAAGTACGTTAATAAAATCTTTCGAAATTTCATAAGACCATTTTGTCTTTGAGCAATATCATAAAGTAAATTTTTTTTCTCAACTATTATATTTTTTTGCGACCCATGAGCAGATGATAAAATATTACGACACATCGAAATCAGGAACAGAGATATCTCTAATACTTCTATGAATAGAGTCATTTATGGAATTTGTGTATTTTGCACATTTTGTTCGTATTGTATGGGTTATGCCAAAAGAAAGAATGGATAACCTTAACATACCTGAGTCGATTCTCTTGATAATCCCTCTAATACACGTTAATTGCGACAAAACATGGAACAGGTCGTATGAAGAGCTCAACGCAATCACGTTGCTCAAAGAAAATTTGGCCGAAGCATTTCCATCCCCATAATGCCATTTCTAATGTGATTTGGATAGAAACTCTTGAATAACTTTTCTATTCCTATTGATGAAGATTCTTATAATTCTCACATTTTTATCAGTAAAGAGGCCAAAAATGCCTTAGCTTAGTTTCCAATCCAAGAATTTGTACATGCTAGGTATAGTCTTTCAAGACATAAAGTGTTGTCTTTTTAATTATGAGTGTTGCCACCTAATCCATATGAATCATGAGTCATTTTATTGTTTTTTGTATTGGCTGCCACGTTGTGGACTTGGAGATAATTATAAATTTTTATTCATTTATTAGTTGATTGGGTAATATTTCGTTACCCGGTAATTAATCTATTACCCGAATAATTTAAAAATTAACCCAAATTACTTAAAATTCTATTTATTACTAAAATACTTCATATATACTTTATATTTTATACTACCGTAGTCATATAATACCTTGCATGGTACTACTCCATAAATACTACGTATTTTTGCTCAGGTCGTACTTTACCCCAAAATGCCAAACTTGGACGAAAATTTATTTTCTTCGACTTGCTTCCCTTCTGCAAATAATATTTTTATTGGACTGATGTCGACTACCTTTCAACAAATTTCAATGCACAATACTATAGGGTGCAACATCGTCGTAACTTAATACTGCGGGACGTAATTTTGACGTAATATTGCGGGGCGTAACAATTTTAATCCTCAAGTTTTCAATTTTCAAGCTAGAGGCAGTGGCTCTTACATTGTTTGGTCGTTGAGACCTTTTAGTGTGCGGCTCAGAGGCTCATTTGGCTGGCGACAATGGCTCTTGCTTTTGCCCGTGGGCATTTTTAGGCTTTGTTTTCCTCTCGTTAAGGTCTTTTTGAAATGATATTGCCTAACCCGTCATCAGTTCAGGAAGAACCTCGATTTCAAGTTGTTAGTGGCGATGTTCGAGCACCTCGGGAGGTTCTTAGCTCATAGGCTGAGTAGCTCAAAGCCTTGTGATTTGGAGCTGACATGGTCGAAGCTCGTTTGCCTATTGAGGGAAGCCTGTTTTAACCAGTTCTTTTCAAAGTATATTCGAAGTAATGGCCTGCGATTTTGTTAGCGACAGTTGGGCATCCCCGAGTCGCATTCATTTGGCTAGAGCAGCCGTTTTGACCGTAGTCATATGTATTTGGCCGGAGATATTTTTGATCCCGAGTGATAGTTTAGGCGTCTACGCCGAGGGTATGACCTTTCAGGATTCTTACAAATGCGACGTATATCCTAAACTTCGGGATTGAGTTTTATGCCTGTAGTAAGGTCTTACAAAATTCTCATGACTGCTGAGGTCTTACAGTTTGTCATGCCTGTTGAGGTCTTACAGTTTGTCATGTCTGTTGAGGTCTTACAGTTTGTCATGCCTATTGAGTTCTTACCATTTTTGTTGTTATGTAGAATAGATTTGATTATACCGAGTTTGCCCGCTCGGGGTCTTACAGTTTCGGGTTTTCTAGTTTATAGCGACTGACCATAGTCTCCGAGTCATTGAGTTTGTTGAGGCTCGAAGTCCGTTGTCCTTGAGCTTTGAGTTGCCTTATTGGGGCCATATGATCCTGGAGTTCCGACCTTGGGGTCGTGCGGGTGCCAAATTGTTGATACGATGTCTCCGAGTATTTCAGGACGCATTTGGTGGAGGGACCCCTACCGTAAGCATGTTGAACTTTCTCTTTTTAGTACGAGGTGCTTTTGGTGACAGACACCCTTCCATCTATTATTGTAAATATATGTTGTTGTGTTGAATAGATCTTTGCTAGACCGAGTTTGCTCGCTCAGGGTTTTATGGCCTCAGATTTTCAAGCGTGTGGCAACTAGCAACAATCTCCGAATACTCAAGGTAACCCTGATGTTGGTGATGCTGGGCGATTTCTGTGTTGCCTTACTTGAAGGTTTTGTGATTTTGGAGTTTCGACCCGGAGGCCGTCTGAGCGGTGAATTGATGGCATCAAACCCCGAGTGTTTGGGACGTTTTGGAGAAAGAATTGTTATCTTACATCGTGAAGGTGTATTTGACAAAAGGTATTCTTTGATTGCTTGGTACGATAGTACACATATTTGCCGACGGGAGCCTGACTATACGGGCACGGTTCTTTCGACCGTTTGGCCTGGTATATTGCTTCCCTACAAGAACCCCGTTTGGTGTTTCGAAACCTTTTCGAACGGGTGGATTTCTGGGGGAACGCCCCTCATTGTTCAAAAGTTGTATGCAAGAGAGGTTTTGAGCATTCGCAGAGTTTTCCTTAGGCAGCTCGCAGTCATTGCCTCGTTAAAAACCTTGCCAGTAAAACTCTTCTTTTGGGACAAAAACTCGGTCGAAGGAAAAGAGTGCAATGGGTGCATTTTTAGAGCATTGAGGTCTTCAGGTAGTGCTAGCGTTACGATAGCTCTGGTCGGGGCTTGTAGAAGGGTTAGTTCTAAATTCGAAACGAAAAAAGGAGACAGTCGTACCTTGAAGTGAGATATGATAGCGATGCCTCGGGATTGAATCATTATAATTGCCTGAGGAGAAAAATGCGGTATGGATTTCTACTTCGCTATGTCAAGTTCGATTGAGGGTGAGGCCCGTTTAGCCCTTTTTACTCGGGGGCGGAGGTACGAGCATTGGTACCACATCGTGTATTGCGAATATTTCCCTTGCCGCGTGTTGTTCCCCGTAGACGGTTTTAATTCTGTCCTTTCTTGGGAATTTTATCATATGGTGAAGGGTGGATGGCACTGCTCTCATGCAGTTTATCCATAGTCGTCCGAAGAAGGCGTTATACTTTATGTCTCCCTCGATTACATGGAATTTGATGTCTTGGGTCCTGCGGCCACGGTAACCGGAAGGATGATTCCTTCTTTCGTCATTTCTCTTGCCATGTTTAATCCGTTGAGGACCTGAGTGGCGGGTACAATTTGGTTGAGCAGTCCGAGCTGTTCTATTACCCTCGACCTGAAAATATTGGTCGACCTACCTGGATCCTACGAGTACATGTTTTATCTGAAAAGAATTTACAAGGAAGGAGATTACCAAGTCGTCGTTGTATGGTTGAGACAAGGTCTTGGTGTCCTCTTCTCTGAACGTGAGGGTGTCTTTGGGGATATATCCCCTAGTCCATTTTTTCTCTATTGAAGGATATTTTTGTTCTTTTCATTACGGGTTCCTGCGGGGCATCGGCGCCCCCATGATCAAGTGGATGACGTGTTGCAGCTCGTTTGCCTCGTTCTTCTTGGTTGCCTCCCTTTCTCGGAACTGATTTTTAGCTCGATTGCTAAGGAACTCTCGGAGGTGTCCTTTGTTAATCAACCGAGCTACCTCCTCTCGTAGTTGATGACAATCCTCGATCATGCGGCCATGCGTGTTATGAAACTCGCATACTAAGTTGTAATCCCTCTACATAGGATCGGACTATATCGGTTTGGGCCATTTGGCGTCTCTGATCTAACTGATAGCAAACACGATGTCTAACACATCGACGGTTTAATTGTATTCTGACAGGTGGGGTGCACATGTTGGCACTACGTTTCAATCGAACCTAGTTCTGTTGATGAGCGCTCGAGGGTCCTGTCCTTGATCCATCCTCCGATCATTGCGGGGTAGGTTACGCCTTGGGGTGTTCCTCCTATCCTCGAGGTATGGCTTCGGCATGATGGATCCTACACCCGATTAGTGGTACCGATCAGTGACGGCTCTGGAGTTCAGAATGCTGGAACTCCCTAAGTACCCGATCAGGTGTAGGCAGTAACGTGTTCATTAGGGTCAGTGGTACCGTTGTACTTAGGGAGTTCCATCATTCTAAACTTCTTTGGAATGGGCTTTGGGGTCGCTTCCTCGGGGAATGACCTTTGTATGAACTTCTTCGAATCCACGCCCTTAAGGACCGAGGGTGCACCCGGGATCTGATCGACCTAGAGTTGTAGGTCTCGACCTTTTTATCGTTGGCTACTATCATTTTCTCACCCGATTCGATCATTTTGGTGAGGCCCTCAAGCATCTTTACTATGACGGGGTCGGCTACCGATCCGTTATTGCTTGATCTCTCGGGTACTTGTTCAACGGGGGGAGTTATTTCCGGTGCTGCTGTTCTGGGAGTCTTCCGATGGCTTTGTAACTAAGCGATGGCCAACTATTGTGACTGCAACATTTCAAAAATAATATGAAGGGTAACTTCCTATTCTTCCTGGGCTGGGGTTTTTTGGGCTTCATGTCGGTCTCTATGTCGTATGCTTCTATCGGTGTGCGAGGTTTCGTCGACCTGTTGTGTGTCCTATGAATCTGCGTCCGCTAGAATCGGTTCGGGCGCATTATCGGGATTCTATGGTTGCGTTCTAGCAGCCGGAACAGCCACGCCATTTTCCCCGTGGTGTTTGAGGTTGTCGTTCTTGACTCCATTTACCGAGCCAAACAATTTGACCTGAAATCAAAAGATCTTGGACAAGAAAACGTTTGAAAAATAACTTGCGTTTGTGGAATGAAACCAGCAAGAAAATAGTCAATATTATTTTTAGCCCCACGGTGGGCGCCAAACTATTTACCGTGAAAATGGTAACAATAATTATATTTGTAAATGGGATTCTAGAAATACGTGATCTATTTTTATGCTAGTTGTTAAAACAATTGATGCTGAGAGTATGAAGTTTAATACAGAAATACAAGCTAAAACGGGGCAGTAATCAAACCGAGATGCTTGCAGCCCGAGCCTCGGACTGGTCGATGAAGGACCTCGAGGTCGATATCTAGCTCGAGCTCGAGCTATAGGGGTAGTCGGGGATGGGATAGCAGTTGAGATATGATCAAACAAGGCTCTTTATGGCCAATACCTAGCAATGAATGGAGAAGAAATATGAAACTAATAACTCTAAAAGCGTCCTCGAGCTAGCAGGAACGAGTAATTTAGAGAGAAGAGAGAGAGATATTATTGATCTTGTGGAGAAAATAGATGGAGAAACATCCACCCTTTACAAAGTAGTGTGGGTTCCCTTTATATAAAAGGGGAACTCGGTTATAGTACA